GCACCCAGGGCATGGCCGCAACCAGGGCATCGCCTGCAACCAAGGCATGGCCACAACCAGGGCATCACCGCAACCAGGGCATGGCCACAACCAAGGCATGGCCACAACCAGGGCATGGCCACAACCAGGGCATCGCCTGCAACCAGGGCACGGGCTGCATCCCGCTCAGCATCGCTGCGGTTCACGGGGCCGGGGCTCCCGCCAGCGATTTCTGCGAAGCGCTGTTTCTGGGGCACCTGCACAGGTGGGACTGCGGCTCGGCTGGGTTCGCCTCCCCGCTCTGCACGCAGCAGACGGACGCGGGGGAACCGAGGCACAGCAGCAGTCAGCGGACTTGTGTTCCCTACAAGAACAGTTTGCTCAAGGGACACGTTTGTTTCAGTCAGTCATAGTGTTCTGGAGCACACTGGAAAAAAATGGCTAAGTGATATAATTAATATACTACACCTAGATATTTAAAAGAATGCTTGCAAATGACATCTCATACCACTAAATCCTTCTTTGATCTCAAGAATTGGTATCTATTTCCCTGCTAACGTTTCAATTGTTTTGCACATCTGGACAGCCATATTGCCCACGGTTAAAATTCTGATAAGAAGTGGTGGAACAATATAAAACTCTTGCAGATGCTTTGTTTTTGACCCATAAACCTGCAATTCCTCGGGGTAAAATTTGAATTCAATCTATTTATTGTGAGGTAAAGGTTGCTTTTTGACTTCGTTTACTGTTCTACTAAAGCAGCAGAGTCCATTATCTCTGGTTACAAGAGCTGGATGAAAATTCCTAACTGGAAAAAATATTAAAAAGAAAAATCCAAAATTTCCAAGAAGATGTAGCTATTAAATAGCTATTAATAATAGCATTCTCAATTTTAAAACTAAAATATGATTCAAGTCTCCTCACACAGTTTCTGTCTCTGGCAATACATTTTCTGTTGGGTCTCCTACTGCAGTTAAAAGTCTGCAGTGTGAAAGTGCTTGACCTGGGGTAATTCCTTCACATTATTCACGAAACAGAAATTTTCATGCCAGGTAATCGTAGGTGGTCCTGACAATATCCTTCTACCAACGTGACTGATTCAGGGCTCAACTCAAAACTCTGGAATTCTGTTATCTGCAGACAAACGGAGGAGGATATTCACGCTTTGATCTTCATTTTTGGCAGGTTACAACACTCGCCACTGCACACCCCCGTGTGAGCCCAGGAGGCCGCAAAGCTCTCGTTGACTTCCACCTCGAGAGGAACATGGAGTCCCCTGTGTGGCCGGAACACCTCTGAAGATCTGGGTTGC